GTTGATATTTCTGCTCATATCTAAAATTAGCCCCTGTGACTCGTAAGAGAGCAATTTGGGTTGTGCCGATGATCAAGAAGCCTTATGGGTAGACTACATCCCATAGGTCGAAAGATAGATGATCTGATTGGTAAACTTTCTGATCAAGTATTGCCCGGAAAATATCTCCAAAAGGAGGAAGAAGTTTCATGGGATCTTTCCGGTAGCAGAAAGAAAGATATAGATGGCTAAAACCATTAGTCATACAACTATCAGTAAAAGTTTCACATGTCCAATGGTAGCAAGGATCTGGTCGGGGTGCAGGAGGTTGCTTGTATCATGGGATGTTCTATCCTAAGGGGTACACTTGTGACGGTTGACTGCATAACCCCATAAAACGTAACCTCCCACATGTGTTGCTAGGTTAGATTAGGAAGGGTGAGGCTGGATCTAATTCCCAGATAAATTTGGTATACTGGTGTATCCTTATCCTGCCAATGATGTCTCACTGACTAAATCCTAGTAAGTCTTGGCTAAACTGAATGATTAAAAAACAGTAGTAGGTGACTGCTGACAAAGATCATCAAGTCCATAGGATACATGGGCTTGTTTAAAATGTAGCAACTTCTCACCCCCATGTCTATACTTAGAGGCTTAGGCCTAAAATGAGTATTTGGGAACTCTTATAATGTACCCATGCATCCTGAAGAGACACCAGGAGACATTATAAATAGTGATGCTGATCGATTTCTAAGCTAACAGTTGGGAAAAAAAAATTTATTAATGATGCTTCATTTCTTTTAATTGCATAAGTAAGTATTATAAAATAAAAAAAAATTTAGCTACAAATCTATTTTGTTATATTCTAATAAATATATAAATTTTAAGATTTTTAAGTTCAATTATATAATATTTTTTTTTTGTGTAATCTTACTTTTTTTTGATAAGACACAAATCTTTTTGTATTGGCTTATATTTTTATAATAAAATTATTAATTAACTATTAATAAATTTTAAATATTTTATTATTAAATTATAAAAAATATACTGTATATTTAAAGTTTGATTTAAGTTAAATAATTATTTATTAAATTATAATAAAAAATATTAGTTCAAAGACTTTTGTAATAAACTGTATATATTTATATTTAAATCTATAACAAGAATATATTAATTATATTTTTTATTAATATATAATTAATATAAAATATATACAGTATATATATATATATATTTTTAAGAAAAAAACTCTTTCCGCTGATCCCCTTGTTAACCCAAAAAACAGACGTTCTCAAAAATTATTTTTATTTTTGATAATAAAATCTATACACTTTCTTTAAAAACATTACTCCTTGAAGGCAGTTGCCTCCTCCCACTTGTTTACTTCTCCTTTTTCAAAAACTTTGGATATTTTAGTGACAAATAAACAAAACTTTACCCATTTGGTTTATGGCAAGAACACCTTACTGGGAAGAAGAAACTTGTAGAAAAACACCCTTCACTATTTTCTCCAAAGATCTGGAACTCTAGAAAGTGAACCACTAGTAAATGCATTTCCCAAGCTCCATAAGAACCTTGGGTCCACCATAAGTGAACACCTTTGTCCAAGGCAGGTGGATAAGCTAGTTGGTCCTGCCAAGCGAATGCATTTCCCAAGCTCCATAAGAACCTTGGGTCCACCATAAGTTAAAACTCCTGTGGTCCAGGCGGGTGGATAAGCTGATAGGAATCTACAGTTCTGGTATATGATCCTCTCTCATCAATCATATATCCTGCATAGTACTTTCAAGCGTGTCAAAATTTTCTTGGTTTTTTCTGGGGAATTTTGCCTACCTCAGTTTGACCCTGAATTTTTTGTTACACCGGATTCTCTGGTTGGTGATTGGCTGAAATCTTGGATTGGTTGATCAACAAGTAAAAGAAATGTAAACAAGACATGTATCCATACGTGCCCCACGTCGTACCATATTATAACCGATGATGTAATTGAATATAGCGAAAGAACAAGGTGTCGAGGTATCCTCTTGATAAGAAGTGCTTGGAAGTCTCCCCCTCTCCTCTTGTGCTGATTTCTTTTCTCCTCAAGATCAAGGCTCTCATTAGGCTGGTAGTATTGATAGGTTTTTATTTTACCAGTGCAAACATTTCTTTTCCTCTTTATTCTTCCCTTTACCTTCTCAAAAAAATAAAAATTTTTATACCTTAGGACCACAGAGGTTAAGTTGAGATGAACAGTCTTGAATGAAGGCTGGCGATGAAATGGAGATTCACAAGGAACATGGATTAAAGTAGAGCAACTTTTTTCATTTCCCTTAATCACATCTAGAGGCCACTGGCTGTTGATGAGTGTGTCATATAAAGTATAATAAGTTTAACCTATAGTATAGATCCACCCAATACTCTGTATTGTATCATTTGTACCTCAGGTTAGTTTATGTCAAGCTTGAATGTAAATAAACTTCAATATATGGCCTGATTAGGTGTAAAAAAAAAAAAAAAAAAAAAAAAAAAAGTTTATAAAAAATTAATTATAGTTATTAAATTAATTAAATAAAAATATGAAGCAAAAAAAATTATATCAAATCTTTATCTTTTCTTATATTTGTATAAATATGTGTATAATTATAAATTATTATATGTTTTTTAATATTTTTTTTTGAAAAAATAAATAATATACTCAGTAAGTTTTATTATATATTAGTTTTATTATTTATAATATTTTTTAATAAATTTTAGTATAAAAATTAATGAATAATTATTAAAATTATATTTGATATTAATTTATAGAATTTGAATTTTAAATAATAAATCAAATATTAATTTAATTTTCAAACTGAATTAATTTTTGATTGATAAATTTTATTGATTTTTAAACAATATACAGTATATAATATTTATAAGACAGTTATCAATAGATTAAAAAAAATTTTAAAAAAATTATTGTATCTAAAGAATCTAAATTGAATATTATTTGTTAAAATTTTGAATTTATTAATTAAATGTTATAAGGTTTTATATGAAACAATAAACTTTTAAAAACTATTTATAAATTATATTAAAAATTCAATAGTTATTCAAAATAAAACAATTAATATAAAAGATACTAAAATTTTTATTTTATTATATTTTTATAAAATATAAAAGATTTTTTTATTTTGGTTGAATTTGTAAATTATAATGAAAATATTGATTTATATTTGAGACAATTTTAATTTTTTTTATATATTTGATTAATTTTTAAATAATATTGTAATACAAATTGATTTTTATTTAATGGTTTAAATCAATTATTTTGACAAATATAAGATTTTATTTTGACTTAGAAAATAAAATAAATTTAAATTATAAAATACTAAATTTTATTCAATTAAATATAAATATATAATTCTTATTTTTAATATTTTTAATTAATTTATTTTATTTAAATATAAAATTTCAAATCAATATAATTTTATAAATATTTAGCTATAATTTCACTAAATTACAAATATAATATTTAAAAATATTAAAAATTCAATTAAAATATTGTATAATTGAAATTTAGTATAATACAAATTTATATCTAATTTTATTTTTTTAAAATATTTCAAATATTATTTTTAAAAAATTTTTTTAATTATTATAATTAATTAACAAATATTAATATATTAAATATTTGACAAATATTAGTAAATTAAATAAAAATAAAATAATGTTTTATTATTTGACATATATTAAATTATTAATAAGTATTAATATAACAAATGTTTTATATCTGAATATTTGATAAATGCAACATATTAAATAATACTATTTTGATTAATGTTTACAACCTAATTTATTTTGATTTAAAACAAGCATTTTATATATTAAATTATTTAAAAAAAAATAAATTAAATAAATTTATACAAGAAATTGAATGTTAAACAAAATTAATATTTTTTTAATTTATTTATCAATCAATTAAGATAAATAATTGTTGCTTAATACTTATATGATTTAAATATTCAAAACAAACAATTATAATAAGTTATAAAAGTATTCAAAAAATCTGTGCCTATAAAAAAGTTAACAAAGGATAATAACTTCATATAATAAATGTTTTAGTTAATATTATTGATAAAGTATTCAACAATTTTTAGAATTACAACAAAAATTTTTTTAAAATTCTTATTTTTCAAAAATAATTCTACTAATATTATTTGCAATATAATATGATTTATAATTTGTTTATTTTATAACAATAAATATTGTAATTAAATTATTTTAATCAATGAAATATTGATAAAAAAAAGTCATTAGAAAATTTGGTATATTAAATTTATTTATTTGCTTATTGTTTAAATACATTATATTATTATTTATTAATTTTATATACAGTATCTTGATTAATTAGTAATTCAACTTGACAATAATATGTTAAGATTTAATTTATTTTTTTAAAAAAAAACAACTTTATTAAAATTATATAAAACTAGAAAACGGAACCGTAGTTAAGTCCGGACTATATCAAATAAAATTATGAATTTATTTTATTTTATTGTTTTAGCTTTAGTATGTAAGAAAAAATTTTTTTGCTTTTATTTTGTCACATGACTTGTTGGAAGCTTATTAATAACAATTAAGTGTCACGTATTGTGACATTCTGAGCTCGTCGTCTCTATTTTTGAGTACACTTCTGTTATTGGAACATGATACGATACTACTCCTTTCGTACTCTTAATTTGGGATTTTTCAATTCAAAAAGTCACATTATTCCTTATAGAATTGTAGATTTTCGACTCGATAAACTGTTGCAAACCAAAACTCGGGTTCCTGGCATATCAAGGAAAGATGGTTTTTTGTATCCAATCGAAAGAATGCGTGGATTAGTCACGAACCACAGGAGTCAGAAAAAATGTTGGAAATGTAATTCGGAGATAAACTATCTTTCGCTTAGTTGCATTAACAAAGAATGTGGTGTCATTCAAAAACCATTGCCAAACGATGTTACTTATTTTGAGTTGTTAAGAATGCATGAAGATAATTTTGATCCGTATGTTGAGATTTTTTGATTCTGCATTTTTTTTG